TTTTGCACAGCAAAGGAGATAAATTGATTAAATGGAGTACAAGGGGTACTCCTACCCGTGTACAAAAGATGCAGACACTGAGCATCCACTGACTTCGCCTAGTCAAAACAGAACCAGCATAATAAAATGGCCAAAGTCAAATAGCTGCTCGGTGGAACATGCCAGGAATCCACATTAAATTAAAACAAGCTACTGAAAACTACGTTTGGCCTTAAGGCATAACACCGGTTCAACCAACCATTCGTAGAAATTAAAGGAGTAACCTATTGACCTGCTCTTAATCCAACTAAAGGCTCTAAGCTGTACTAGTTCAAAAATTCTATCCTCTTCATATGCTTGATTTTTAAAGATTTTTCTATTTCTAGCCAACCAAAGAGACCATAAGGTGGAGAACCATACCACATCCCATCCAGCTTGAACTGATGAGTCTTTTATGGGGGGCCTGTGCTGCTCGAAGTCTTCTTGGCAAGTTCTCGGGTGAGCCGTGAGAAACCTCCACCATTTTGTACATTTGCTTCTTACTGAGTGAGCCACTCTACAATGAATAAATAGATGGTTGGTATCTTCAATGTCGTCACCGCACAAACCGCACTTCAGGCTATTATCATGGACAATTCCCCTCTGGTATAGATTGAGCTTTGTGGGTATTCTATTCTGCAGGGCTTGCCAACCAAATGCACTGATTTTTGTGGGGATGAGTTTGCTCCATGTCCTTTTATGCATCTGAATACTGCTGGTGTCATTGATATTGGATAGTAGATCGTAAGCTGTTTTGACTGAGTATTCTCCTTCTTTGTTGTGATTCCACTCCCAGCTGTCTTTTTGGTCTTTGAATGGGTGATATTTGTTGATTAGCCCCAGCATCTCGGTGAGGTTTTCTTTCTCCCATTCGTGTAACGATCGTCTCCAATTAAGTGTCCACTGCCAGGAGTCTTCCCTCCAACATCCCATTTGAGAGATTCTCATGTCTTTATCAGTGGAGGCAAGGTATAAACGAGGAAATCTGTTGGCGAGGGATTGATCTCCTGTCCACACATCCTTCCAAAAGTTGACAGACTGCCCATCTCCAAGCTTCAATTTAAAGCCCCCTGTTAGCCATCCTCTGCTGTTTGGATCCATAACATCAATCCTACATAGGTTTCTCCACCATAGAGATCCCCTTTGATCATCCGCCTGCACCCATTCCCTCCATCTACCCTCCAAACAACCGTACTTGTGCTGGATAGTTTTGTAAAATAGGCTCTCTTCCCCACTTGCAAGTCTGCCCCACCACTTACCCAACAATGCTAAATTAAATTTTCTAAGATCTTTGACCCCTAGCCCACCCTTCATCTTGCTGCTACAAACTTTGTCCCATGAGACCCAGTTGATTTTTCTTTTACTCCCTCCACCCCCCCATAGGAAGCTCCTGCGGATTTTATCTAGGGAGAGAATCAAACCTTTAGGAAGTAGGTGTACAGACATGGTATAAACTGGGAGGCTGGACAGTACTGCATTGAGGAGTGTAATCCTTCCGCCCAGAGAGAGGAGCCGGCTTTTCCAATTGCTTAATTTTTTCTCAAAAGATTCGATCAGTGGTTTCCACATAGAAATCTTCTTCCCACTGCCGCCTATTGGAACCCCCAAATATCTGCATGGAAGCTCTCCTTGCTTGCAATTCAATATGTGGGTCATTTTTGACATCCATCCCTCTGAAACATTTATTCCTATAAGTTGGCTTTTCCTGAAATTAATCTTCAGCCCCGAAACCAACTCAAAGATTCTCATTATGCTCTTTGCTGCCCATATGTTGTCCTCCACGGCTTTCCCAAATAGGATTGAGTCGTCCGCAAATTGCAGATGGGACATTTTCAAACCTCTACTGCCTATATCAATTCCGTCAAACAAACCATGGTTGATTGCTGATGAGATAATGCCATTGAGGCCTTCCGCAACCAACAAAAACAGATAAGGTGAGAGTGGATCGCCTTGTCTGAGACCTTTGTTAATTTTGACTTGTCTGGTTGTGCTACCATTGAGTAAGATCGACGCCTCTGCCGTCTTCAAGCATTCACTGATCCACCGTCGCCATTTAGATTCGAACCCCATCCTTGCCATCATGTAATCAAGAAATTCCCAACAGACCTTGTCGTACGCCTTCTCGAAGTCTATTTTGAATAGGAAACTAGCTTTCTTCTTCCTCTTCGCTTCATCAATTGTTTCATTAGCTATTACGATACTATCAACCATTTGTCTACCTTTAATGAAGGCCATTTGGTTTTCTCCAATAATACCATCCAGAACCGAGCCAATTCTGTTTGCGAGGAGCTTAGCAATCACCTTATACATGACGCCGATTAAAGAAATGGGTCTGAACTCTTCGATTTTCTGGGGGTTCATAACCTTGGGTATCAACACAATAAAGGAGCTGTTCGCTCCTCTAACCAATTTCCCATTATTGTGAAAATCCTCAACATAGCCCATCATGTCATCTTTGATCGTGTCCCACATTTCACGGATGAATTTGAAGTTGAAACCATCTGGCCCTGGTGCTTTAGAACATCCACAGCTCCATACTGCCCTTTTGACTTCTTCTTCATTGAAGGGGGCAAGCAAAAAGGAATTGTCTTCTGCTGATATCTTTTTGAAATCAATTCCGTCGAGATGAGGTCGTTGCCATCTATCCTCAAAGAACAACATGTCGAAGTAGTTCGCCACACCTTCCTTGATCTCTTGCACATGTTCCATGTGTTTGTCTCCCACTTGTAAGCTAACAATGTCATTCCGTCTCCTTCTTCCCTTAACACACCTGTGGAAGAATTTCGTATTAGCATCTCCGTCTTTGATCCATGTTGTCCTTGCTTTTTGACGCCACATACTCTCCTTCAATTTCTGTTGTTTCCAGAGTTCCAGAAAACTGCTCCTTCTTAGTTGTACATCCTCATCATTCAAAACCGCTGTCTCCCCTTTGATATCAATATCCGCAATGGTTTCTTTGCAATTCTTAATGGTGAGATCCATCTCCGACACCATTGTTTTGCTCCATTCCTTCAAAACTTTCTTCGTTTCCTTCATCTTCTCTTTAAATCGGTATCCATGCCATCCCGGTATCACTGTTGATTTCCATGTCTCCCTCACTAGCTCTTTGAGTCCAGGAGAATCAAACCACACATCGAAGAAACGGAAAGGTTTAGGGCCCCAGTCAATTATTTGGTTCTTTAACAAAATTGGGCAATGGTCTGACATTGTTCTCTTCAGCCCCCATTGTTTGGCATCGCCCCAATTGTGGCACCAATTTTCTGACAACAGAAATCTGTCTAACCTGCTCATAACAGATCCATTTGAATGATACCATGTAAACTTTCTGTCAATTAAGGGGAGGTCGATGAGGCCACACGATCTAATGAACTCATCAAACTCTGTCATTTCCCTCCTATTTGCTCTCCCACCCTTCCGTTCTTGCTCACTTCTGATGGCATTAAAGTCACCCATCAAACACCAGTTGCCACATGCTTCTATCATCAATTCTTGAATACTAACCCACAAAGATCTTTTACCCGACATATCACAGGGTGCATAGATGTTAAGAATGTGTACCGGGATTTTAGAGGCTCCCCAGGTTCCATATATCCCCACAAAGCTCTCACCTTCAATTACTCTTTCTTTTGACATTATATCACAATTCCAAATGCATATAAGCCCTCCCGCCGATCCTCTAGAAGGTTTTGATACCCAATCAAAATTATCTCCTCCCCAAATGTTCCTGCATGTCTGATAATCTACCTCTTCTAGCTTTGATTCTTGAATTGACAAAAACTCCACTTTTTCTTTTTCAACTAGCTCTCTAATGCCTCTCTTCTTGCCCTCACCCCCCAAGCCTCTAATGTTCACTGACAAGATTATCATTAAAGTTCAGCAGCCTCTTCCCCCCCAAAATTGGTTTTACTGACCTTTGAGGTGCAGAGCAGCACTCTAATGTTCACTGACAAGATTATTTTCATACTTATTACTCTCTTCTTTTTTTTTACAATTAAAGTATATTACTTATCCATATAAGTACAGTACTTGCAATTATTTGAAATACCCATGACCAAAGCTCATCCATTTGTGCTTGGTTGGATTCGGCCTTCTCCACTCCCTTATGTCCCCCAGTAAAATGGGCCAATGACAAAAAGTCATTTTCTTGATAGACCAATAGAATGGCC